CCTTCACCATACGATCGAAAAGGTCCAACATTCATTAACATCGCATAAATCGAACTACATTGTATTCCGTTCATGTACAGTATCAATGGATCATTGGCAGGATCATTTTGGGATTCAATGTACCTGGAATTAGAAACTTTTTCTATGGATCACACAAATCCGCTGTACTCAGAGTTGTTATGTAGTTCTAAAGCCTTTATGAATTGGCCTGCTTCAACAACGTCAAGCAATTTCAAGATTTTTTGTAGATATTTGATTAGAGTTGGTCCAAACTGATAAGAAGTTTTGGTCCTTGAGTTTCAAACTATAAAACATGTTATTTGCCTAAAAATTTTTTTTTCCATTTAGAAACAAAAATTTTAGTTCTCTACCTTTAATATTCCATGTCACGCCGTTTTGCAAATAAGTAATGAATTCTTTTAGGATTATTTTTACTATTTTTGTATACTCTCTCAAAATCATATTGTTAATGAAGAAAAATAGGTTAATATCTTGTATCAATTATAGCTTATCCCACTTTCTAACGTTTCAAGACCTTTCGTTCAAGGAGGGGAGTATGGGGAGCGCGAAAGCCAATAGAAATCATGGTTTAAATGTTAGAACTATAAAACTGGATTTCCTAGCTTAACGGGATAAGGCTAACTGCGGCTCTGTGTCCGCTCATAGATTTACATATAAAAATAATTCTTAGTTTTAACAGGGAATCCTTCAAAACCCTTTTATTTTTTGTCTTTAACTTCTTATATTATGTCCGCTTCTTGTCCACTTCGATAGCAATTATTTGAAAATTTCTTGATCTTGAAGAAAAAATGTGTGAAGTCATATTAATAGTAAATAAAAGTATATTAATTTCTTGTTCAGCTGAAGCCTACTCCCTTTTCTGCTTCAAAACCCATTTTCCGGGAGAGGGGCGACAGAGAGAAAGAGAGACGGAGGAAGAAAGAGAGAAAGGCGATAAAAATATTATTGCGAAAGATCAGGACAATTAATTTTGTATTTGTAGATGTATGAAGATTCAATTAGAAACTTCCTATTAGTTCTCGAAAGTCTTGACTCCCACTAATAGAATATTTGGAAATTATTTCCCCTAGTAGGTAGAAAAAGAGATTTGATGACCATGGAACACAATATTGTCATAAATTTCATCTATATCGTATATAATGCACAATTAAGTTTCACAGCATAATTCTATCAAAATATTACAAACAACCAGAAGAAGAGAAAATGTAGGAAAACGAGACAAGAAGTGGAATGTAGACGAGGAAAACTGTAGGTGGGTCTGAATTTGAATACACTACCCTATCTTCATCCTATTACAGCTCACTTACGATAGTTATTGCTTGTCCTTAAAAGAACAACGTTTATAGAAAAACTGTCATAATTTGGCATAACTGCAAGGAACCATCAAGAAAAAAGAAACTAAAGATGAGGTCATCAGAAGCAAACAGAAACAAGAAAGTTAAACCTCTTCGGTTTGATTTTTGAGTTTCCAAAATT